TGGTTCCTCACCCTTCTGTTGCCTTTTTTTTTTTTTCTGTTCTTCCTCCTTTTTAGTTGTTGCTGTCTTCTTGCTTTGTTTGGTGCAACCTTTTTTTACACTAATTGGAGTTTTAATTGGTCTACAACCAAGCATCCTAGTTTCTTTGAGCAGGTCAATAATATATTTCCTTTGAGAGACATAGATTCCCCTTGTTGACCGTGTAACTTCGATTTGGAGAAAATATCTTAGTTTTCCTAGGTCTTTCACCACAAATTCTTTATTCAAGGCTACCTTTATCCTGTTTATCTCACTTACATCATCGCCAGTAAGGATAATATCATCCATGTATACAATAAGGATTGCCGTCAAATCTTCATTTTTCTTGACAAACATTGTATGATCAGATAAGCTCTGTTTGTAGCCCTCAACTTTCAGGATTTTTGAGAATCTATCAAACCATGCGCGAGGTGACTGTTTTAACCCATATAATGATCTTTTCAATTTACATATCTGATTTTGTCTGTCTTTATCAAAACCAGGAGGCAATGTCATGTAGACTTCTTCTTTTAACTCACCATTGAGAAAAGCATTTTTTTATCCAATTACTGTAGAGGCCAATCTAAGTTGGTTGCAATTGATAGTAGAAACCTTATTATATTCATCTTGGCTACTAGAGCAAACGGCTCATTAAAATCTATTCCATATGTTTGAGTGAAGCCCTTGGCGACTAATCGTGCCTTAAACTTGTTGAGTGTGCCATTAGCATTATATTTAGGGGTAAAGACCCATTTGCACCCTACTGTTTTCTTTCCTTTAGGTAAGTCAACTACTTCCCATGTTCCATTTTTCTCTAAGGCCATTATTTCTTCTATCATCGCCTTCTTCCACTCCGGATGTTCAAGTGCCTCATACACATTGTTAGGTATTCTAATTTTGTCAAGATCAGTAACAAAAGTATGATAATCATGAGATAAAGTAGCATATGATACATACTTTTGTATAGGATGCATGCTACATGAGCGAGCCTTCTTCCTCAAGGCAATGGGTAGATCTCTATGGATTCAGAACGTTTCATTGGTTCAGACTCAAGCACAGCTCTGGGTAAGTTGGGCTCTATAGGTTCTTTGTCCTTTCGCGAGTAAACTTTGTAATACTTCTTACTGGTCTTATCTCCCCCTTCCTTTGCTACTTGTGCAACATTGGGAGGAATAGGAGAACCTGACTCAAGAAGTGGAAGTGGAAGTGGAAATGGGGGTATAGGTTCAGGTACATTTTCCAAGGACTGAAATTCACTCCAACTCTCCCTATGAATTGAAGACTGAGGAAAGAAAGGTTCGTGCTCAGAAAAGGTGACATCACGACTGACATGGAGGCGTTTGGAGACAGGATCGTAACATTTATATCCTTTTTGGCAAGAAGAATACCCTAGGAAAAGACATTTAACGGCTCGGGGGTCTAACTTAGATGGAGGATGGTGAATATGAACAAAAACAGAACAGCTAAAGACACACAGCGGAAGGGGATGGTCAATATGAGCCACATGGTGAGTCTTACGAAGTTTGTCTAAGGGTGACACAAAGGAAAGGACCCGATTGGGCATACGATTGATTAGATGAGTGGCGGTAAGAATAGCATCCCCCCAAAAAAGTTTAGGCACATTATATGTAAGGAGAAGGGCTCTAGCGACTTCAAGAAGATGCCTATTTTTCCTTTCGGCAATGCCATTTTGTTGTGGACTGTGAGGACAAGAGCTGTTGTGAACAATACCATTGGTTTTGAGAAAAGAGGTTAAATTTTAATTAAAATATTCTGTGTTGTTGTCAGTGTATAAAACTTGGATGGTGGCATTGAACTAATTTTTAATCATTGCAAAAAACTCCATAAAGATAGAAGGAACATCAGATTTTTCTTTAAGTAAGTAGACCCAAGACATACGTGTATGATCATCAATAAAAGTAACAAACCACTTGGCGTGGGTGCGATTTGAAACACGAGACGGACCCCAAACATCACTAAATTATAGAGAACGGACGGGATGATTTGTAACGAGATGGTGAAAAGGGTATACGATGGTGTTTTGTAAGTTCACAAGTATCACAATGAAGAATTAAATCTTTATTAATGGTGAATCTGGAAACAAATGTTGCAAGTAGGAAAAACTAGGATGACCCATCCTTTTATGCCATAATAAAATGTCATGATCATTAGAGAAGAAACAAGACCAATCATGCGTGAACACAAAGCAACCACGATAGAGACATCAAGGTAATAGAGACCATCATGCTCCCTAGCTATGCCAATCATCTTCCCTGATGAGAGATCCTAAAAAATACAGTAAGCAAGAAAGAAGTAAGCACCACAATTTGCATATTTAGTCAATTTGCTTATAGATAAAAGGTTACAGGCTAATTGTGGAACATGTAGAACTGAATCAAGGTGAATAGTGTCAGAAATAGTAACAGCTCCTTTTCCAGCAATAGTAGAACCAGTTCCATTTGCAGTTGTGATTTTTTCATGACCAGCACAAAGGAAGTAAGTAACAAACATATGGGCATCTAAGGTCATATGATCAGTGGCACCCGTGTCAACAATCCACTTGTTAGAGGAAAACAAAGTGTGTAAGGCCAGTGAAGAGATACCTGAATGAGCAACATAGGCTAAGGAAGTAGGTTGGGGTTGCTTTTGAAGCCCTTTGAGAGTAGTAACTAACTGCTGCAATTGTTCGGGAGACAAGAGAAGTGACTCAGAGTCTTGTGATACCTGATAGCCACGTGGTTTTCCTTTACGGGGCTTCCAGTTAGCAGGCTTGCCATGGAGGTCCCAGCAGTAATCCCGAGTATGTCCTAGTTTCTTACAGTGATCATACATCACCTTAGGCTTAGAAGAAGAGGAGGTTGTACCCTTACTAATAAAGGCAGAGGACTCAGGAATAGAGACAGAAGGGCCAGGCAGCATCACCTGTTGATGAGAGGCTTCGCATCAAACCTCCAAGAAGGCTTCACAGGTACTGGGTAAGGAGGAGCGACTAAGAATACGACTTCGAATATCATCAAACTCACTATTTAAACCGACAAGGAATTGGAAAACACATTCTTTCTCAATATTCTGCCTATATCGAGTAGCATCAGTAGGAGAAGACCACTCTTCCTTAGTAATCATATTGAGCTCCTGCCACAAACCAACAAGGTCTAACCAGTAATCAGTCACGGTTTAGTTTCCTTGTTGGACAGACCAAATGCGCGTCTTGATATCATAAAGACGTGCTAAGTCTTCACCATCTAAATAAGAGTCATGGACAGCATCCCAGATGTCCTTGGTGGTGGGCAAATACATGAAGCTGCGTTTTAGGTACGGTGACATGGCATTAATCAGCCACGATGAGACGAGGGAGTTCTCTGTGACCCATTGTTGGAATTCAACAGAATTGGAGTCACTTGGTGCCTTCGTTGTGCCCATAATGTATCCTAGCTTGCCGCGACCTCCAACAGCCAGGCGAACGACTTAGGCCTACTCCCTGTAGTTACTGCCGGTGAGCTTCTCAGATACGATGGCGATGGTGGAACCATTGAGACTAGTGGTCGAACCTGAGGAACCACTGGTTGATTGAGATTCAAATGTCAGGGAGCCACCACAAGAAGAATCCATCACAGTCGAGCTTCTTATGGGGTTCGACCCAACTTCACGGTCCTCCGACATTGATGAGGAGGGAGACAAGGTGGTCGGACTTGGTATGCAACCTCCCCCTGCCGGCTTTGATACCATATAGCACTAGTACGAGTTGGTATCTTCAATTATATTAAACAGAGCACTGTACAGAACATATGTAGAGGAGATGGGGAATCGGGGAGATTACATATGGATATAAGGAGAGATTATAGGAATAATTTGAATTAAATCTGAATCCTTATAATTTTGGTAAATATATTCTATTTGAATATTATCATATCTGAATATTATCTACAATTACTCCCTCTGGTAATCATTATAAGAGGTTATCAACTAATTCATTCAAACCAAGAAATAACAATTATGTAATTAGATGTATTCCAAAATTATAAAATTTTTCAAATATACCCTTATTTAATAACGTGATTAAAAATTTTTTTATACCAAATATGCTTTTATAAGCAGGGGTAAACTAGGAAAAAAAGTCATTAATGACCTTATTGACCTCTTATAATAAGGACCAAAGTTTTCTTCTAGATCACCTTTTATAAGGGCCACAGGGAGTATAATAATTTAGTAATTAGTAGTTACCTCATTATAATAAATAGCTAATGAGCTAGTAGTGAATTATGTACTAACCAAAAGTTGTCGTAAATAACCTAAAGGAGGGGTATCATTCGTTTATTTTTAAGAAGTTTAAAATCTTGAAAAAGTAGTTGTTAATTGCTAAACTATTATATAGTAAATAGTTAATGAGATGCACATTAAGTAGCTAGACAAAAATTGTAAATAAGATCTAGTCAAAGCTTAATAGTTCACTTATACATTATTTTGTATTTTCTTTTAAAGTTGGATTAGTGGCTTAATGGTTATCTAGTTTTCTGCATCTAAGTGGCGGTGGGATCAAATCCCACTTTCACCACTTTGCCACAAAATATTCCTCTCGCCAGTTAGGAGCTGGCTGTTGGGGAGGAGGTTATGATTTTTTTTTTTTTTAAAAAATGAGAACATCTTTGTCTTTTTGGATAAATTGGCACCTAAATGGGATTATGGAAATTCAGCACACCAATTTGTTATTTTTCCTTAAAATAAGTGAGTGAGTTCATATATTATGTGTCTGTGTGTGTGTTTTCCTTTTTTTTTAATTTGTGAACTCGATGTTGTTTCTTGTTACCTCAGAAATGAGATGTCGAGGCATCGTCTCAATAGCAATGTCAAGAGCAGTTTGGTTGTATTTATTGAATGCCATTGTGTCCACTCTTGGGCATTGGGGTTCCAGAAGAGGATGATAATCATAGGCTTTCTACTTAGGAGCACGAAGAGCGAGGTGGTGAAGGAGTGTGTTCCCATCATCATTTGCTTATTAGTGGTTCATCTTTCACAATCTGTTTTAGTTCAGGAAATAAATATCCTCTTAGTGTACTATAGTGAAGAGCATTGGAACCTTTTTCATCCACCAATTCGCAGCAATCTGTACAATATTTTATTATCTTTTCCATAACAGATGAATCTTCATGAACAACTACAAAGTGAAGAGCCGTCCTTCCCTTGTTATCTCTCATGTATGCTGTGCTTCTATCTTTGCTTGCCAACAACTCTACCACATCAAAACTTGTAGCAATTGCTACCAAGTGAAGTGGCACCCAACCATTTTCATCTACTTGTTTGGCTGCTGGTAAGTTTCTTTCCAACAGTTTTGATACTTTTTCTATCATAGATAACATCAAATAAACACCATTAGTTTCATTTAGAAAAAACTAACCTTCTAATTTTCACACGAACACTCTTTAAATTTGAGCTATCCATTTAAAACAAACTCCGCCTATTTAGTATAGCCAGTCCCAAGTCCAGATAAAGGAGGAGAGTTGTGTTAGGCTCTCGACAGCCAACATAAAAATCTGTCAAATCTCATGAGCATGAAACAACAAAGTAATTATGCTACTGCTAGGTTGTTGCCCAAAAGTAATGCACTGTATGGCTCGAGTATAATGAGAAATGAGCTAGAGCTGCTACATCATCGCCCAGATGTAGTGTTAAATGAGCAAGGGCTACCGTACTTTTTTGGACGGAGGCAGATAAAGAAGTTAGTTCATGAGAGTAAGATTAGATTTGGCACTTGGAATATTGGGACTTTGAATGAGAAATCTATGGAGGTAATAGGAGTTATGAGGGATAGAAGGATTAACATTTGTGCCTCCAAGAAACTAAATGGGTTGGAGAAGTTTCCACAAATTTGGAGAGTATAAACTTTAGCATACAAGGAAGGTGATTAGTGCAATGAATGGTGTTAGTATCATCGTGGATGGAACATGGAAAAAGAATATAGTGGAGGTTAAAAGATTTGAGGACAGAATAATATTTTTAAGAGTAATTATTGGAAAGGATATTATCAATATCATTAGTACCTGTGCACCTTAGGTTAGGACAGAGACACACCTTAAAGATAAGTTTTAGGAAGATATGAAGGGGTTGGTTCAAAGCATACCACTTGAAGAAAAAATTTCTATTGGTGGGGATCTTAATGGACATGTCGGCAAGGAAGCAGGACAATTTGTTGGGGCTCATTGTGGTTTTGGTTTTAGGGAGCTTAACAATGGAGGATAATCTATTCTTGACTTTTCTCTTGCGTACAATCTCAAGATTGTCAACACATGTTTTAAGAAGTGAGAGGAGCATTTAATCACATACAAGAGTGGAGCCATAAAATCACATATTGATTTCTTTTTGGTTAAGAACCTGGACAGAAGACTATGTATTAATTGCAAAGTGATTCCTGGGGGGATGTACATTTTAAGAGTATCAAATAAAAGTATCATCAAGTGGTAAACCACAAGGTCAAGTAGTGGCAGTTAAAGAGTAAAAAGCGAGAGTCTTTCAAAAGGACCCTTTTGGAAGAAGGGATCTGGGAGTTGCAGGGAAATGCAAACATTATGTGGAAAGAGATAGCTATGAGGGTTCATATAGTTGCTAAAGCAATTTTGGGAGAATCCAGAGGTCGAGGTGAGATAAATAAGGAGACTTGGTGGTAGGAGAAGAGTGTGCAAGAAAAAATCAAACAAAAAAGAGATTGTTTTAAGGCCATACATTTTTGCAATAATGTAGAAAATTGGGAAAAGCATCATTTGGCTAAAAAAAGATAAAGAGAGTAGTGAGTGAAGCGCGTACTAAAGCTTACAAGGAGTTTTATAAGGAGTTAGGAACAAAGGTGGGGAAAAAATATTTACAAGATTGTAAAGTAAAGAAAGAGGAAAAAGAGAGATCTGGGCCAAGTGAAGTGTATAAAGAATGAAGATGGTAAAGTTCTAGTTACTAATGGTGATATTAAGAACAGATGGGAGGCTTACTTTTACAAGTTGTTTAATAAGAGAAGCGAATGTGTGACTTAGAATTTACAAGACTTGTTAATTAGTGAAGATGATCAAAATTTGGCTTTTTACCGCAAGATTCACATCGGAGAGATTAAGGCAGCTCTCAAAAAAATGGACAACAGTAAAGTCGATGGGCCTGATGGTATTCCTATTGAAGTTTGGAAATGTTTAGGCGAGGAGGGTGAATTGTGACTAACTAAGTTTTTTAATGAAATTTTATGCTCCAAGAATATGCCGGATGAATGGAGGAAAAGCATTTTAGTTTCTATTTACAAGAATAAAGGAGATATTCAAAACTGTGCAAGCTATAGAAGGATAAAACTTATGAGCCATATGATGAAGTTGTGGGAAAAAGTGATTGAATATAGGTTGAGGTTGGAGACTTCTATTTCAGAGAACCAATTTGGATTTATGCTGGGGAGATCTACAACTGGAGCAATCTATTTACTAAGGGGGTTAATGGAAAGATACAGGAGTAAAAGAAGGGATTTACATATAGTTTTTATTGACTTGGAAAAAACTTATGATCGTCTGCCAAAAGAAGTACTTTGGAAGGCTTTGGAAAAGAAAGGTGTATGGGTTGCTTATATCAAAGCCATACAAGATATGTATGAGAGGGTAACTACTAATATAAGAAAGCTTGGAGTTGAGACAAGGGACTTTTCCATTAAGATCACCTACATCAGGGATCTTCTTTGAGTCTTTACTTGTTTAATATTATTCTGGACGTTCTAACCAAGCATATTCAAGAAAGAATCCCTAAGTGCATGCTTTTCACGGATGACATAGTCCTCATGGCCGAATCAAAAAAAGAGATTAACTCTAGATTGGAGTTATAGAGAAGGACTTTGGAATCAAAAGGTTTTCGCTTGAGTAGGAACAAAACAAAATATATGCATTGTAATTTTAGGGGGAGGCAAAGCAATGGTAATTTGGAGGTAAAGATGGGGGATTAAGTCATTCCTCAAGTATCAAAGTTTAAATACCTAAGATCCATTATGCATGAGTGAAATTGATATAGACGTTTCTCACAGAATACAAGCTGGCTGGTTAAAGTGGAGGAAGGCTACTGAAGTTATTTACGATAAGAAAGTACCTGAGAAGCTTAAGAAAAATTTTATCGGACTGTCATAAGACCAGCTATGTTGTACGGTAGTGAATGTTGGGTGATAAAGAGAAAACAGAGCACAAAATTAGGGTAGCAGAAATGAAAATGTTGAGATGGATATGTGGTCATGCAAGAAAAGATAAAATTTGAAATGAAAATATCAGAACAAGAGTCAGTGTGGCACCTATCCAAGAGAAAATAGTTAAACATCGTTTAAGGTGGTTTAGATATGTGCAAAGAAGGCCATTGGAGGCCCTGATGAGGAGGGTAGATCTGACAATATGGAGTCCTATAAAAAGGCAGAGGAAGACCAAGAAGAACGCTTAGTAAGATCATTGAACGAGACCTCCTAGTCAACAGCATATCTAAGGACTGAGTTGTTAACAGAGTATATTGGTGTCGTGTGATTCATGTAGCCGACTCCACCTAATGGGATAAGGCTTGTTGTTGTTGTCCATTTAAAACAAAATTATCATACTTCAATTTGTATGGAAATTTAATCTAGTTATCACAACGTGTTCCTTAAATTATTTCAAAGAATTTACACGAGTTATTGTTATTTCATTTTAAAAAAAATATTGTAAGCATGACAGTTAATTGTCATTGTTGTTGCATATAATACAAAGGAAATAATCAGACGTATTAGATATACACACCAAACTTCAATCATAATAATAAATGACAAATTGCAAAATCATACAATATAATAAAACACCTGCGTCACCATGAAGGACTGCGGCATGCAAAGCAATTCTGCCGTTAGGGCCATTATTTTGCAGTGAATTATCACTGTTATTCAATATCGTATCTACCACGTTCCAGTATTTTCTCTCAACAGCAATATAAAGTGGAGTCTCATCAGCAACATTTTTCCCAAAATATGAGTGATCTGGTTCTTCCTTTACCAAGAAATCCACACCTTCTGTGTGACCATAACGAGCAGCCTCATGCAAAGCTGTGTCCTTCTTATCATTTATTGCTCTTATAAGCCTTCTCTCAGATCCAACTTCATTGATATCTCTAGGGAGAACTTTAGCACAATCAATTAATTTTTTCAGTATTTTTTGATGTCCATACCTTACTGCTCTATGAAGTATGGTTTCACCCTTCATATTGATCTTGAAAAAAAGTGCAGGAGACGTACCTAGAACCTCTTCTGCAAATGTCTCTGATACACTATCAGCATAGTTTGTGAAGTGTAGATGAAGCATTGTATTCTTATTTGGAGTTAGTATGGACTCAATTTGCTCGCCCATTCCTTGAAAGGCTTCGATGTTACCTTGCTTCGCAGCATTGTAAAATTCAAGTTCCATGCCTGTCATCCTGACAGTATCAAAATTGTTACTAACAGAAATAGGTTCTCCTAAATTTTGCAACTTAAAAATTAGCGTCCAAATGTTTCAACAAGATCAAAAGTAGGAACGAGTACCAATGGAAAGGGAAATCACGCATCCGTCCAAGCAAGAAAACTACAAGAAACCAAAAAATGATGCATAAAAATTGACAATCTTGGCTTATACATTTTGTGTGGATGTGATATAGGTACCTCAAAATTAGCCGTTGACGGAGCCCTGCAAAATGGTGAAACAGAAAGTCGAAGAAACTCTTTGCTGCTGCTACTTCAGATGAATTTGTGGACGTAGTGTGGGGGAGGGAGAGTTGAATAAGAAAGCATAAAGCATATGGAGTGGCTGATGAAAGTTGAAGAGGGTATATAAAGAGAGAGAAAGGGCATGAATAAAATATTCCTACGCGTTTTTCTTTTCCACCAAAAGCTGAAGTTGCCTAATCTCTTTCATGGGGTTTCAAGGAATGTTCCGTTATTGTTTTTGGGCCATTTCATTATTAGGCCTAGTTACATTGAAAGCGTAATGGAGTCTGAAGACCTGAAGTTACATTTAGTATGTGCTTTGGTTAGGTTGATGTGAGACCTCTTCGCCCAGTAATATCTTCGCTAGTGTCTGTTTATTGCAGTGGCCAATGTAGTTGAACCATGCAATTCGGGCCCCTTAAAGCAGCTAGGTTCTACTTAACCCAATATCATCTTTGTGAGTTTTTTTTGATACATAAGAAATTCACATCTCTCTCAATCTCCCTTATAAATTATAATGCACTTTAGTAAATGATTGTTCGATATTATTTTAACAAAATTGTAATTTTAAATTTTATAAGTTAATGAATTTGTTATAAATGTTACGTTTTATTAGAGTCTCATTGTATTCAATTTGAATCAGTTTGTGACTGGAATAAAAAATATATATTATACAAAGTTTACGATTTTCCGTCTTCAATTAATATAAAAGCTACTTAATTAATTTGATTAATGTTTTAATTATAACAATTAGTGTCAAGGTCAAAAACAATTATAACAATTAGTGTGATATAATCTCCCAAAATTATTCTTGGATAAAGTTATTATATTGTGTATTATTTTTTCTGGTTCTTAATACAAAAACTAGTTAGAAATTTAATTTGTTCCTAAAGACTTTAATCTACTTCATCTCTAATATTTATCTATTTTGCCTCCAAGTAATTCTTACGGTGATTGTACTTGTTAAGAAGTTTTCATGAAAGAGTATTTTCATGCACACAATTGATAGAGGTATTTTAGGGAAAATAACATCTATTTATTATAAATAACTAGTTTAATTAATTTTCTTAATTTTCAAAAATTAGTTATCTAACTTTTATATTAACGATCAGAGATAGTAGTTTATAAGTTGGGTAAACGAATTTGAAAAAAATAATAAATACGAAAGATAAAGTAAACTAAAATTTTATATTAGGATCAAATCCAACTGCTAAATAATGAGCTCTTATATTAACGACTAAAAATAATATTTTGATATGGATTGTTTAATTAGAAGTAAGTAGGGCGAAAACTTCTTTTTTGTTAGCTCTTATATTACGCTACTTCCATCACAATTACGAAAGTAAATCTTTTAGCAAAATTTGAGTAAGGCTTCCATTCTTTATAGAGTTACTCCTCTTGTCCTTCATTTGAGACTTAATTGAAGTGTCACTTTTGATTCTAAATATAAGACTTATCTTTTATGTTTATTATTTTCTTTTCAAATATTTAAATCTAAAAATTTTAAAAATTAACTTTTGCAAAAAAAGTTTAATATTTTCTAAAAATTAAAAAGACAACATTAGAGAGAAAGAGCAAGAAAAAATAGTATTTATTAAAAAGAAAAAATTAAAAATAAATACTATTTGAAATTTCAAATTACGCCGAGGACTAAAATGAAAATTTTGAAATGGTAATAATTTTATAATTTTATTCCTTATTTTATTAAACAAACGAGAAAAACTACCATCGCCAGCGATTCCTGCCGCTGACCAACCACCATATCTCTGGCACGTGTAACCCATTTAAACCTGTTTAAGTGAAGCTCAGGCACTAGTACTGATAGCTAATGTGACAACTGTTATTCCAAAAACCTATTTAGATTAAATCTAACAATTTATTTAAAATATTTATCATGATAGAAAAGAAGAAACTGTAAAATTATAAAATTACTATCATGGTTAAAAAAAATAAACTTATATTACAAGCAATATCAATCATTAACTTGGGCTTTGGACTTTCAAAGTCTAAAAATATTATTAAACTATTAGTCCAAACCAAACTCATACTTTCAAATATACGAACTAATAAATCATTTTAATACAAACTAAGAAGTCTATTAGTCAAAAGTCAACACTTTAAAAGAACATCACATGTAATATCCTAAATTTTATTATAGGATTTATAGAAAAAATGTTACCAAAATAAAAAAATTAAAAATAATAAAACAAAAAAAAAAGAGTGAACTTTCCCCAAAATTCGGTGAAAAGTTGAAAGTTGGGACTTGGGAGTTGGGGGAGAATTAATAAATATGTGGGGGTGTTAAATATACCCCCCTCATTTCGATTTTCACCGTGCGTAAGAGAGGAGAGAGAAATAGTGTGAGAGAGAGAGAGGAGCATACTAACGAAGGAGAGGCAAGCTTTGAAGATAACTGAGGTACATAAAATTACTTCTTTTCATCAAACTTTCTTCATAAATATTTTCTATATATTTTAAAATTTCTAATAAAAGTACTACTATAGTGATTAGAGAAAATTTTGAGACTTATATATGATATAAGTATTAAGTTTTGATAATAGATGACTATAGGAATTTAGAGGTAAATTAGTAGTTAATTTTAATCGGTTTAGATTTACCCATTCGTTATTTTTTAATATTTAATTTAATTTTTATTCTAAATTCTTGCAACTCTCACAATCCAAAATTAAATACTACCTCCGATCCTTAATATAAGACCTTGTTTGACTTTTATTTTGGTCCAAATATAAGACCCTAATATACTTTGTCTTTCATATTTATATATATATATATATATTTTTTAAGATAGTCCTTCTAACAATGATAATTCTAGCCAATACACTTGATTAGTGAGGATATTTTAAGAAAAACAACACCTATTTATTACAAATAACTAACTTAACTTCTTTTCTTAATCTCTTTAAATTAGTCAACTGGCTCTTATAATTAGAACCAGAGGTAGCATTTTAGAACTAACTTATAATTTTCTAACAATCCAAATTATTTATTTACATCCTCCAAATTATTTATTTTAATAAAAATAATTTTTTAAAATTTTTAAATATGAAATTATTACATTCTAAATTTTAAAAATCTCATTTAAAATTTAAACCTCAAAATTATACCATTAAAAATTTAATAATACCTCAAATATTTATAAATAAATAATCTAATCAAAATTTAAATTGTATGATTATCACATAAATATATATATTTTCATAAATAATAAAATTTTTAGCCAAAATAATTATTTTAAAATCTCCAACCACCCAATAAATAAAAATAAACCGATTACAATTTCAATAATATGTCAAACAACCCAAATAAATTATTTAACTTGAATTTAACTGGTAAAAATATGCTATATGTCATGTATAACTGATTTTTTAACTAAACAAATTAATTTAAATATTAAAACTAACACATGGGTAAATCTAAACTGATTAAAATTAACTACTCATTTACCTCTAAATTCCTATAGTCATCTATTATCAAAACTCAATATTTATATCATATATAAATTTCAAAATTTTCTCTAATCACTATAGTAATACTGTCACTAGAAAGCTTAAAACATATAGGAAATATTCACAAAGAAAATTTGATGAAAAGAAGTAATTTTATGTACCTAAATTATTTTTAAAATATACCCTCTTTCACTAGTCTGCTCCGTTCTCTTACACACATATTATTTCTCTCTTCCTCTCTTGCGCATGGCGAAAACCGATAGGTGGGGTATATTTAACACCCCTACATATTGATTAGGGGGGCTTTTTCCTAATAAATTCTTTCCTAATTTCCAATTCCCAACTTCTTACCGAAAATTTCAGTGTAAAGTTGACTCTTTCTTCTTGTTGTTTTTTTTGAAATAAAATATTACTCCTCCGGTCCTTATTATAAGACCCAATTTGACTTTTTATTTGGTCCTAATTATAAGACCCAATCCATTTTGTCTCTTATATTTATGCATTTTTTTCCAAGATAATCCTTCTAATAATGATAGTTTTAGCCAATATACTTAATTAGCAATGATATTTTAGGAATGACAACACTTATTTATTATAAATAACCAACTTAACTTACTTCCTTAATCTCCTCAAATAAGTCAATTGGGTCTTATAATTAGGACCGGAGGAGTATTATTTTATCATACTAATAAAATATTGTTATTTTTTATTTTTTTTTTAATTTTGTTTATCTTGGTAACATTTTTTCTATAAATCCTATAATAAAATTTAAGATATTACAACTAAAAAGAAAAAGAAAGGGTCAACTTTCCATCGAATTTTAGGTGGAAAGTTGGGAGTTGGAAGTTGGAAGAGAATTTATTAGTAGGAAGCTCCTCCTAATAAATGTGTGGGGTGTTAAATATACCCCTCACATTTCGGTTTTTGTCGGGTGCAAGAGAGGAAGAGAGAAATAATATGTGTGAGAGAGAGAGAGAGGAGTAGACTAGTAAAAGAGAGGGCATATTTTAAAAATAATTTATGTACATAAAATTACTTCTTTTTATCAAACTTTTTTAATGAATATTTCCTATATATTTTAAACTTTCGAATGACAGCATTACTACAATGATTAGAAAAATTTTTGAGACTTATATATGATGTAAGTATTAAGTTTTAATAATGGATTACTATAGAAATTTAGAGGTAAATAAGTAGTTAATTTTAATTAGTTTAGATTTTCCCATTTATTAGTGTTTAATATTTAAATTAATTTGTTTAGTTAAAAAATCTGTTATATATAACATATATCATATTTTTACCCGTTAAATTTAAATTAAATAATTTATTTGGGTTTTTGACATATTATTAAGATCTTAATTAGTCTAGTTTTATTTATTGGGTGGCTAGAGGTTTTAAAATAATTATTTTGGCTAAAATTTTATTATTTATGAAAAAATATATATTTATATGATAGTTATAGCATTAAAATTTTGATTATATTATTTATTTATAAATATTTATGGTACTATTAAATTTTTTATGGTTCGATTTTGAGGTTTAAATTTTAAATGAGATTT